GAGGAAGCCGAGTGATGTCGGATCTATAACTTAGATAGTTTAAATATATGTATATATATATGCTTTGATCTAATAAAAATACTGGCGAGGCTGCTAATAATTAAAAAAAAAATTTGTTCATATAAATTAGAATTTATATTTAAATCAAGTATTACTTGAGTTATTTATAGTTAACCAGTTAACTAAATAATGATTAGAGCTACTCAAGTAGATTTATTCAAATAATAACTGAATAGATTCACTTGAATAATATTAGCATAGTGGACTTTCATTGTAATTGACTAATTATTCTATAATATTGTAAAAATTTTATTTGTTAATAAAAATTTAAACTTTATCTAAATCATTACAAATAAAAAAAACCAATATAGATTACTTTGTGAATTACCAAATTACTTTGACAGTTTATTAAACAAGATATATACTTCTAAATTTTTTTGATCTGAACTCTTACCAATTTATACTTGTATTATTAATGTTACGTTAAAATATTGTGTAATATTTTAGTTAACCATCCAATCAGATTTTAGCTTACTTGGGTATAACAGGTAAAATTTTATACTCGAATATATATGTAATAGATAGATTAATGAATAGATTAGTTGGTCCACCAAAATTTAGCAAATCGGCCCGAATTTAGGGTCAGGGATGAGCTGGATCAAAGCAATAATACCGGCCGACTATATTATAACAAAATTATCATTTGAGCAGCTTTACTTAGTGCATAGGTTGCAACTTTATTAGTAAAATTTTGTGATTTTAGAAAAAATTTATTAACTCCGGCCTATTCCAACCCAAATTCGGACCGATTTGCTGAATTTTGGTGGACCCTCTAATCTACTCTAGATTAACAGAGAAACAAAAATTTAGCAGATCAGCCCAAATTATAGGTTGGATTGCACCGGTGTTGGTTAATTTTGCTCAATATCACACCAAATTTTACTAATGAAACCATAGCCCACTCACTAAGTAAAGCTGCCCGGATGATAATTTTGGTGTAATACAGTTAGTTGTTGTTATTTTTTAATGCCGGCCTAAATCCGACGAAATCCGACCCATAGTTCGAGCCGATCTGCTGAATTTTTGTTTCTCTGCTAATCTATCCATATATACTGTATGTGATTTACCCGTGGGTTTACTCGTCGGTTATGTTTTTTTGACCGAGTACAATCACTAGAACGGATATATATGAAAATCACATGATTTTCATATATACCCGTGCGAATGAGCTTTCGAAATAACTACCGACACAGCAGCACATGATTTAATTCGCTAATTCTGCCGTATTCTAACACTAACCTGAACTATAATGCTGGCCATGCTGTGTCGTTAAGGTTAGTACTAGTCATTAGCTGTATCGATAAGGCTGTGTTGGTAGTTATCCCCCAAAAAAAGCACCCGTACGATAAATTCAAATATTCATTGAATACTGTATCCGAATAATTATTTAACGGGTCAGACCTCTACTAAGATAGCAATCGATTAGTCAACTAAGTTTGTTTTATAAATTAAAATCGATTAGTTGCTTCCCGCATTTTTTATTAATATGTCCAAGGTAAGGGTTTATCAAATTTCTATACTTGATAGGCCATGTTTCACGCCCCTGACCTTTACAAATTTAACCAATCATAAGCTTTTGCTCTGCCAGAAATCTTAGAAAAATTCCATTTTTATATAAATATTGCGCCCGGACGTTTTGCTTTATCCATGATTTCCTTGTCTCTTTGCATATATACATCAAGAGCAACGTCTATATTTCTTTTATAAATGGAGTCCGACACTCTAGTTAACTTCAAGGTGACTTGTACCAATGAGCCCGCAGTATTACGTCGCATTACATTCAGAAAGATAGCTGATGTCTCTTATCAAGTTTTATATTCAAAACTATCACTACTTTTCAAGATTAACGACTTTAAAATTCATTATACGGATGAAAAAAAGGAAGCCATTGCCATCGATAATGATTTTGATTTGCGAGAAGCTATAAAACACATTAAGTCCCATTCTAAGGAAGATTCTCGCCTTGTTATCCGGTTAATCTTGGAAGTAGCATCCTTTTCTGCCAATCAAGAATTTCCTAATTTATCTAATTATAGTAATCCTGATACTAATCCAAGCGTAGCGCAGAATTTTGTCACCCAACCCAGCAATATGACAGACGTTAGTACCCACGACGACAATCATGCCATTCCCCACCCTTGCACTTCTTATAAATCCACAAATTATCATAACGCAATTTGTGATTACTGTGGGTCAGTAATCGTGGGCATTCGTCATAAATGCATCAATTGTCCAGATTTTGATTTGTGTAACAATTGCATTGCTCTTGCACCAGCCCAACATCCGGGTCACACTTTTATACCGATTCATAGAACCGGTGAACTTGAAATCAAACCTTCCAATTCTATATTCCACCCTGGAATCAGATGTGATGCTTGCGGAAAAGCAATTCGTGGTGTTAGATATAAGTGTGGTAACTGCGTTGACTTTGATCTATGTGGAAATTGCGAAGCAGATCCCATCAGCAAACATGATGAAAATCACATTTTCTTAAAAATTAAGAAACCTGTGCTGAAACGACTTCGAGCAAATAAACCATTACTACATCATTTATATTCGGAGGTTGATCAAAAAATAATCCATGCTAAATATTTCAGACGATCTCGATCAAGAAATGATCGAAGTGAGATGGAACTTGTATCAAGTCAAACCACATCTAGTTCTGATTCATTGAGTTCAAACCAATTAAATTCTCTAACCAGTTCCCTTAATGGTGGAGATTCTACTAGTGAATCGGCTATCAGTCGGGCACCAATCAGGTTGTATAATAGTTCTTCTTTGTCTAACTTTAATATATCACCTCCTCCCGAAAGGCTTGCACAGGAGACAGTTGAGATGGAATTTGTATCAAGTCAAACCGCATCAGTTGCATCTAGTTCTGATTCATTGAGTTCAAACCAATTAAATTCTCTAACCAGTTCCCTTAATGGTGGAGATACTACTAGTGAATCGGTTATCAGTCGGGCACCAATCGGGTTGTATAATAGTTTTTTGTCTAACTTTAATATATCACCTCCCGAAAAGCTCGCACAGGAGACAGTCCAAACATTTATTTCTACAAACACTTCAGATATCCCTTGTTCACCTTCACCATCTGTAACTACCATTGCCTCTCAGGACGAAGACGATAATATTCCCATGTCATAGGTAATCGGTTTGAGTATTTTTTGTGTGGAGCAATTGTGCACATATAGAAAATTTTTTTTAAAATAATTTGTTATTAAATATATTTATTACAATAAGGACAAGATATTTAATTTATACGTACAGTAGACCTCCTTAATGCAATTTCTCCAAATACAACATCATAAATCTACTCTGATTTTGTTTTAATATATATTATATTCTATAGAATTTTTATTGTTTTTATATATAAATTGTTAAAATCTTTTAAATTGTATTTAGAGAGGCTTAACTGTATATAAATTCTTAATGTTTACTATTTATACAATTTTACTGATTAAATATATACAAAATTTTTTTTGTTTACAAAATTGTATTATAAAAATTATAGATTTAAGTTTTTGCTTTGATTTACAATACCGTAAATTTTCGAAATAGTGGGCATGGGCGTTATTTCGAAAATCACGCCCACTAAAAATAACGAAATAATGCCCATGTGCGTTTCAAAATAACGCGCACCCCAGTATATATTAGATATATAAGTTTACATCCACCGTCTAGTACGTATTAATGAATAATTTTGATGATAATAGAAATGTGAGGTGTTTTATGAATTTTTTGGTAGTTTGACATATATGTAGATAAATAGAATATTATGTACCCAACTAATAATCAAAAATTACTACTATTACAGGGTAATATTTTACCTATAATATTATGATTATTTTTTTTTTTTCGGTAATTCGGAAATCCTGCCTCTGTTTATTTAAGATTAAACTATTCAAAAAATTAATACAAATTTTTATCTATATTTGTTACTAATCTATTCAAACAGATGGCTCACCCGGCATTAGGTGATAATATTATTTTTTCAAAAACCCCAGATTCAAAAATTAATCTATATATTCAAAATAATACCTATGGGTATACTTGAAATAATGTGTAAATATTTAAAATAGCATATAAATGTCTGCTATTTTGAGAATTTATAATAAAAAATAAAATTATTAATTTTTTTAACAATTATTTGAACTAATAATTTAAAAAGTTAATTTACAAAAATAATATAGTTAATATATAGTATTATAATATAAAATGTTTTTGTAAAGGGTGTGGTGACTTAGTGAAGTGGTTAAGTTGTTGCACCTTCAAGTAGTATGTTGGCAGGTTGGGTTTTGAAATCTACTGATGATAAAATTTCAGATATTCTGTTAGTATAATGGTTACTGTCTTTCAATGATTGGTTGGAATGAAATTTCTGTAACTTTGGTGATACCAACAGGATTAAAAGATCATAGAGCATTTGTGCAATATATAAGTTACATAAAGGCATGCAAGTTGGCATTGGATAGTGCAAACTCAAGATAAGTTCTTGTAATTATATAAATATAAACTTTTGATGATGACTATTGGAATAGGGTTTATTTAAGGCTGGTTAACTAGATGTAGTAAGAGCATTTAGCAAGTTGTTTCACCAACCAGGCTGCTAATATGAGTATTGACTAAAGAAAAAAAATCAACAGATACTATAAACTAGTATTCTTTTTACTACATCTGAATTGGTAATCTATTATTATTATTATTATTATTATTATTATTATTATTACTTTTATTATTATTATGATTATTATTCTACAAACTAAATTAGAGTTAAAATTTATTATTGATTTTATTTTTATTTTACAAAATATTACAAAAGTAACTTTTATTTTGCTTAGCTTTATTTTATTACAACACCTGGAGCTTACTTTCTAAATTTGCAACCCAAACTTACAACCTATTTTTGTTTAATGCATAATTGCTAATGTTGGGTTTCTTATATGTATTCTTCTCAGATCGTTTCAAAGGTTAGAGAATTTCTGACCACAGTTTACACTTTTAAATTCTAAACTTGGTTGTAAAGAGCAACCAAATAATTATAAACCAAGCTTCCTTTTCTTTTCTTAGATATTTAAAACAAAACTTAATTTAAAACTACTTGTCTCTAAATATGTATACTTAAAATGAAAAGAAAAATATATTTATTAGCAAAGCATTTATTTCAAAAATATAACAAACAAGGTCTATTACTTGTAATATTAATGAGAATAAGTTCTTAATTTGCTTGTATAAATGACTATAAGTATTAAAAAAAATATATATAAAAGAAAAATATTTACTTGGATCAAATATACAATATACCAAAGTAGATGATTAGCAGGACTCTGAAAAACTCTGATACAACTCAGATCTGAGTTTGTATAATATTAGCCAAATAGGTATATAAAATAGATCAAAATTTAAAATTTTATTATATAAAAATGCAACATTTGATGAATTTTTATCTTTTTTTAGTAATATCTGAGTTATATCAAAGTTTTTCGAAGTTTTTGATCAGCCAAGCATCTAAATTAAACAAAATTTAATGTATAGTCTAAAAAGTATACATACCTTTAAACTACATCAGCAAAATATATAAGTGTAATATTACGTAAATTATTATGCTGCGAAATATTCTGTAAGAATTACAATCGATGCAGAATATTATGGAAGTTATTACAGAATATTACGAAATATATTTCATAATATTTTGAAATATATTTTGTAATATTCTGTAATAACTTTTGTAATATTTTGTAATAACTTATGTAATATTCTATAACTTTCGAAATATTACAAAACATAATTTTAAAAAAATAATAGATATTCTATAGAATAGGTGGACAATATAAGAAATAAGCTTTGCTAATAATTAGTAATCATTAATTTTTTAATATCAGAGTTGCGGAGTTTGTGAAGTTTGCCAACCTGTTCTATGGAACATCCAAAATAATTTTATAACAACTCATAATCAATCAACCAAAATTAATAATATGTATTTTATATATATTTTATAAATTTTTTATTATTTTGAAGTTGAATTTAGAGATTATTACAAATTATATACTAAAAAAACTACTTTCAAACCCAACAAAAAAATTAACAGAGAACTGCTCCAAGCCTGATGAAGCAGTAAAAAATACTACAAAACAATTCTCTCAAATCACCAACAGACTATACCTTCAGCATTTTGGTGAAGAATTGTTTTGTAAAGTATGACAAGACAATTCACCAACAAAACATCGAAGGCCCAGAAAAATATATATACTAGCGAAGCATCAAAAGAATAGAAGAAATACTACAAGACAATTCATCGGCAAAGCATCAAAGTACTAGAAGAAATACTATATAACAATTTAACAAAAAACATTAGAGGCCCAGAAGAAATATTAAAACAATTCACTAGAGAACACCGAAGGCCAAAAAAAATATACTACAAGACAATTCATCAGCAAAATACTGAAGATCAAAAAAAATACTGTATTTTCCTGAAAATAAGCTACCACCGAAAATAAGCTACCTTCCATTTTTGAAAGAAAAACGTAAAAACCTCTTTAGCCTGAAAATAAGCTACTTTACGATCGTCAGTAGTTGCTCTATAGTAAAGTCGAAATTTTACTAAGTAAATCGATAAAGCTTATTAAGTGAAAGTTGTTCAGGAGATCAAAATACATATATCCTGAAAGTTTTATCCAAATCGGATAACTTTTAATTAATACATTTTTGCATGTTACGTTTGACGAATTTTTTAAAATTTCTTTAAAGTTTCTTTAAAATTCATATTCGTCGAACGTAAAAAGCAAAAGTCAATTAATAAAAAGTTGGCCGATTTACATGAAACTTTTAGAATATGTGTAATTTTATCTCCTGAACAATTTTTACTTAATACGCATAATCAATTTACTTAGTAAAATTTTTCGCAATTGGCAAAAAACGCTTTTACTCGAAAATAAGCTACCTGCAAAATTTTCATGTAACTTTTTGCCTAAAAATGGTAGCTTATTTTCAGGAAAATACGGTACTACAAGACAGTTCACTAGCAAAATATATACCAAAAAATATCAAAGAATCAGAAGAAATACCATAAGACAATTCATTAGCAAATGCTAAAGAACTAGAAGAAATACTACAAGACAATTCATCAGTAAAGCATCAGACCAAAAGAAATACCACAAAACAACTTATCAGAAAACGCCAAAGGACCAGAAGAAGTATCAAAGATAATTTACTAGCAAAAGGCCAAATAACACCACAATATAATTCACAGAAGACACCAAAGGACCAGAAGAAATACAACAATTCCAAAGAGAAATTCTACCAAAAAAAAGAAAAAAAAGGGTAGTATAACTACCCAAAGAAGCAATCACAAGACAATTTACTAGTAAAATACTGAAGAACTAGAAGAAATAACACAAAATAATTTATTAACAAAACATCAAAGATCAGAAGAAATATCATAAGGCAATTTATCTAAGAACACCGAAAGACTAACAAAAATACTACAAGACAATTGCCAAAAGAGAAATTTTTTTTTAAAAAAAAAAATAGTATAAAACTATCCAAAGAAGCAACCACAAGACAATTCACTAATAAATGCCAAAGGTCCAGAAGAAATACTATAAAACAATTCATTAGCAAAATACTGAAGATCAGAAAAAATATCACAAGATAATTTATCTGAGAATGCTAAAGGACCAAAAAAAGTATCAAAGACAATTTATCAGCAAAATGCTAAAGAACAAAAGAAATATCATAGTACAATTTGCCAAAAAATGCTAAAGGACCAGAAGAAATACCACAAGACAATTGCCAAAAGAGAAATTCTAAAAAAGAAAAAAAAAAGTGTAGTATAAAACTATTCAAAAAAGCAATTATAAGACAATTCACCAGTAAAATGCTGAAGGACCAGAGAAATACTACAAGACAATTGCCAGAAGAGAAATTTTAAAAAAAAAAAAAAAGTAGTATAAAACTACTTAAAGAAGCAACCACAAGACAATTTACCAGTAAAATACTGAAGGACCAAAAGAAATACTACAAGATAATTCACTAGCAAACGCCAAAAGATCAGAAGAAATACCACAAAACAATTTACCAGAAAATGCTAAAAGATCAGAAGAAATACTGCAAGGCAAATCACCAATAAAACACCAAAGGATCAGAAG